ACAGTTGGTGGAACAGTATGGGAGGTGTGTCACTGGGGGTGGGTTTTGAGGTCCATTCCAGGTGGCTGAATCACCTCCCATTGCCCATAGTCATGATACCAGAAGTAGCTGTTCACACAGATCATGTCCATTTACAGGGCCTAGGACAAAATCGGTCAGGTGAGTTTGCCTCTCACACCCAGGGCCTCTTCAAGGTCAGAATAGAATGCAAATGTGGCTACATTCAAGATGTGAGCTCTCAGCTGCTGCTCCAGCACCATGCCAGTCTGCTGATGTGCACTGAAGTGCAGAAAAGTAATGAAAAAGGCGGGTGGACTGAATCTGATCAGCATGGTGGTTCCTTCACACCTGTAATCCTAGAGCTCAGGAGGATTTTGAGTTCTAAACCAGATTAGGCTACATGGTGGGATTCTGTCCACCAACAAGCAAAAACCATTAAAGTCCAAGGGAGATTGGTTGGGGAAAGGGAAGGAATCAGTGGGGACAAGGGAGGGAAATGGGTGTGACTGTGGTCAAAATACACTATATACACATTTGAAAATATAATAAACCCTACATATATAATAGATGCTAGTATTGTCCCCCACTCCCTTCCAGGGTGCTTCACTCCCCTTCATTTCTGCTGCCTCTTAACATTTCAGTTTATACTCATCTCTGCTTTTGTGGCTCCGTGCAGCCATGGCCTTTAGCTGTGAGCCCCCACTGATGGGGGAAATGGAAATCATCATTAGAAAAGCCCAAGTCTACAATGCAAACAAATACATTGTCCTGGCCGTAGCCCAACCTTCTTGGAGTTAGAAGCCACACTACCTAGGGGATAAGCAGGAAGTTAGTCATTTTAACCACTTGTTAAATGGAAATGGCTGGACTGGCCACTGCTGCTTTCTGTTAGCAAGCACAAGACTAAACCCAAGCACAGGTGAGCAGAGGCAGTGTGGGGACCACCCCCATCCCCAGGCTCACCCCCAAGTCTGCATCATATTTGGTGTTGGTCACAAAGGTCACAGGACGGGTGGGGTCCAGGGTTTTGGTGTGGGTGATCAGCGTCCTGTTTGTGGAAGGCAGAAGACAGGCTGTCAGATTGGGAGGGGCTCTCAGATACCTTTCTCCCTTCCCTCCCATTTCCCCCATCAGTGGGGGCTCACAGCTAAGGCCATGGCTGCACGGAGCCACAAAAGCAGAGATGAGTATAAACTGAAATGTTAAGAGGCAGCAGAAATGAAGGGGAGTGAAGCACCCTGGAAGGGAGTGGGGGACAAGCATGATTTAAACCAAGAGCCAGGGAAAGCCTCTTGAAGCAATGGCATTGGTGCTGAGTTGAATTCCATTGACTCGTGAGGAATGAGGAGAGGACCCAATGGAAGGAATAGTCAAGGGTTAATGTTTGTTGCTTGGGACCTATTCCTGGCCTCCACAGCACAGACAGATCACCATCATTCACCATTGAAGACTATTTTTTTTCTTTTATATCTTTTTGATCATTACTCTTGCAGTATGAAGGATGTTTGTTGCCTCTTGGACTTAGGTTCTGAACCCACCTTCTCAAACAGCTCCAAACCAGAAAAACCAGTCTGGGCTACTCCAGCCTAGCCAGTCCTTGCCTCATCCCTGCTGTCCCATGATGCATGCATGCCCCTCACCACCTCCTGAAAGTTTGGGAGGGAAGCTAATTGCTTCCCCTTCAAGGCAAAAGTCCTATGCACCCAGCCCCAGTCCCAAAGCACCCTGTATATTGTGAGCTTGAAAGGGCTATGAGTATCCAGAGCTGTCACTAGCCTAAGGGAGGGGCATTCCTCAAAGCCTGCTTTCTACATATTCGGAGAAGTACAAATTACTATGTGGAACTGGGATGCAGCGTGCAGCGTCCAGCGACAGAAGAAGCTTCGATTGCCTCTGTGTGACAAACAGTGTAATTCACCCTAAAGACTAAGTAACAGTCTCATGATGGATGAAGGAGAGGGCCTGGAGGTAGGCTCAATGGTAGAGTACTTGCCTAGCATGCATAGATAAGGCCCTGTTGGATCCCCAACATTAGAAAATATTTAAAATCTTTGTGTCATTACCAAAAAAAATCCCCTTTTATCGTACTGGAGAGATAGCCCAGTGTTTGCTCTCTTCCAGAGAACTCAGGTTCAATTCCTAGCACTCATATGGTGGCTTACAACACAACAGCTCTAACTCCTGTTATTAGGGATCTGATGCCTTCTAGCCTCTGAAGGCAACAAGTACACATGGTACAGACATACATACAGGCAAAATACTTATCACACATTGTAAATCCCATTTGTATTCTCATGCCTGTGTAAATTGGTTTTACAAAGATGAACCCAAGCGTCACAAAGTGGTTTTCTAGTTTTCACTTGTTTCTGTCTAGAATGAATCAGTGAATGGATGACTGCCAGGTGTGATGGAGCACACCTGTAATCCTAGCACCGAGAAGAAAGTAGAGACAGAAGTGTCAGGAATTCAAGGCCAGCTTTGGCTACATAACAAAATTGAGACTAGCCTGCACTATTTGAGACCTTGTTAGGAAAAAAACCCAGATTAGACAAGGGGCTGGAGAGATAGACATAGTTGTGAAAAGCGCTTACTGCCAAGCCCAGAGACTCGAGTCAAGCCCCAGGACTTACATGGTGGAAAGAGAACCAATTCCTACAAGCTGTCTTCTGATCTCCACATGTATGTCATAGCACACATAGAAATAAACAAATTAAAAATAAATCTAAAACCAAAAGATTGTCAGGTTTGGTGGATCATACCTATGATCCCAGCACTCAGAAGGTAGGGTCAAAAGTATCAGTGCCAGTTCGAGGCCAGCCAGGGATGTACAGCAAGACCCCTATCTCAAAAATTAATAATATATAAAATCCAAAGTTCTGTGTATCAAAGGGAACTTTGGATTTCCTTTCAGGTATGACTAGGGGGGTCTCCATGGATGGGAAAATCACAATTTGGGTAGGTTGATTTGGGATCTGGGAAGGGATACTGACATTCACAGCATACATCCACCCCCTCAAGGCTGACTTCCACGCTCCTGGCTGCCTATAGAGGTCTAGCCAGGCCAAAGGGCAAGGCCACAGGCCTGACTCAGCCCAGGACAGGAAGCGTACTCACTTGAAGTAATAACCGGCAGGTTTCAGAGCAGAAGAAGGCTCATTGGCCACAGACCACATCACAACCGCAGGGTGATTTTTGTCCCTGCGTACCAGTTCCTCCATCACCTCTAGGTGGTGCCGAAGAGACTCGTTGCCAAGACTCTGGCTGTGGAGCCAGAAAAGAAAGGGTCACCAAAGGCTGTGAGGGGAGCCGAGCAAGTGGGCAGTGTAGGCAGCGAGGGGCACTCACGGCAGCACGATGCCCACACCAGGGCACTCATCAATGACCACAATTCCGTATCTATCACAGAGCTGCAGTACCTCTTCGGAGTAGGGGTAGTGGCTGGTACGAAAGGAGTTGGCACCAAGCCAATAGAGTAGATTGAAATCCTTCATCAGCAGTGGCCAGTCAAAGCCCTTCCCTCGGATCTGGGGGATGGCACGACTGTGTGACCTCTGCTCTTGTCATCAGAGAGTACCCACTTTCTTCTGAAGCCCCAACCCCGATAGAGTCACCCCCATCCCTACCTAGGCTCAATTTACAACCCCAGCCCATGATGGACATCTTCAGAGCACATGAGGAAGGGGGGGAAGGTATCAGTGACTCCCAGCATTCCACATGGGGATGCCACAGCCACAACTCACATCTGAATCCTCGTGCTTGTTGACGCCATGGAAATAGAAAGGTTTCCCGTTTATGAGGAACTTGCTCTCTGTGACAGCCACCGTTCGAATCCCAACAGGGAGGGTATAGAAGTCAGACACAGGCCCAGCTGTTGTCATCCTCGCCTATGAGACCAATGTGCCAGGCAAGAGCACCAAGGTAACTGAGCCTCATCCATGTTATCTAAGAGGAAGGACTCCCCCCATGCATAACACTACTCGATTTGTAGACCAGGCTGACCTGGAACTCACAGAGATCTGCCTGTCTCTGCCTCCTGAGTGCTATGATTAAAGGTGTGTGTCCATGACCGGCACAGTCTCTGTCTTTAGGAGGAACATACTCTTGGGACCTATCTTCATAGCTGGACTTTTCCACAAAGGGATAGAAAAGCCAGGAATCTAGGGCCTTGTTTGCCTAAATACCTGTCCTGGGATGCCTATTGAAACTACAGTCACTAGGTGGCAGCAAAGGGCCTTCCTTAGCCCCAGCTCCAAATCCCCATTACCTCCAAGGAGTACAGGTAGGCTGGATGGTCATGCATCAGGTAAGGCCACCAGAGGTTGGCACCTGGCACCCGAAGCTGACCCTGGTCCCCTGTTTCCTGGGCCACGACTTTGCCATCCTCATCCAAAAGACGAACTTCTAGCTGGAAATGTTCATTGCCCTTGACGGAAATCCAGTAATCTACCAACCCTGTGGGAAACGAGATGGGGACAGAAACAGTTAAGACTTTATCATACCACACTTCCAGAAGTCCCCTCAGGCCCCAAGACCCTAGCAAACAACTGCTTGATTTTTTTTTTAGCTTATTGTTCAAGGAGGAGAGATTGGGGTGGTACAATAGGGGAGGAGCCAAGTAGCTATGTATATCACTTAGACAAGACCCCACTTCTCACTGGTCCTTATTTTCTTGCAAAGTGAGGCCCATCATGTGGGTGATTTCTGAAGCCCTTGTTGACTGGGGCAGTCTGGGTCTTGAGGGTGATGAAACAAGTGACAGTTACAAGACACTTGAAGCCTTTTTCTTTAGGGACTGTTTCCTCTTGGGAACTGAGGAAAACCAGGCTCAGCCTAGCATAGCACCTCCTGCCCAGAGCCCTCACCGATGTCTTGTTCCACATTAGTGGTCACAGTAATATCGTCGATGTAGGTGGTAGGGGTGGTGTAGAGAACCACAGACCGATGCAGTCCCGCATAGTTGAAGAAGTCAAAGTTTATGTCCTGGACAAAGTAACCCTTGGGATACCTAGGGTGGAAAATGAAGGTCTTTTAATTGTGGGAGGGGGTGGGGGGGCAGGGTGTGATCAGAGGACAACCTCAGTACTGGTTCTTGCCTTCTACCTCCTTGCTCTAGCTGGTCTGAGAACTTCCAGGAATTCTGTCTCCACCTCTTATCTCAACATAGGAGCATTGAAGAAGACTGGGATTACAGATGTAACTATCACACCCATCCTTACATGGGTGCCTGGACTTCAAGCTCATGTCCTCATGCTTACACAGTGAGTATTTTACCCACTGAGCCATCTCCCTGACCCATCTGCCTCCTTTGATGTTTAACTAGCATGTGTCCCATGGTCTCCCTAGATCCGGGGCTAAAGTCACTCTCCCAGTGTGGAAGTCTGCTGGACAGGGGAGGGTAGGGGAGAGGAAGGATGCTGCTGCTCACATGGAGGTATCAGCCTTGTAGATGATGGACCCTGGAGGCAGGGTATGAGGGGTCAGTGTGTTGTTGATGGCAATGGTGACCCTGCAGGTGGTCAGGGGCCCACTCTGGACCAGCTTGCTGATGTCAGCTTCAAAGGGGAGATGGCCCCCTTCGTGCTCCACCACATGAATCCCATTCACCCACTGCAGACACAAGGAGACATGAGCAGAGGGCAGCTGGCCAAAGGGAACCCCTTCCAGAAGCAGGTCCTCCTGCCCATGAAGCAACACTTTCTCCGACCCATGCCCAGCCCCCTTTTCAACAGCCGAGACTGCCCCCTCCACCAGGCAGCCACTCCCTGCACTGACCACAACAGCATAGTAATGGGCACTGTTGATCCTCAGCACCACTCTCATATCCATGTCTTGGGTCCATCGCTGTGGTAGGATTGCTTCCCGCTCATACCACACCCAGCCAATAAAGTTCCGAAGCCGGGCCTCTTGGGTGATGTCATTGAAGCTGGAAGGGACTGGCATGTCCAAAGTTGGGCCAGACTGGGGAAAGAAGAGCTCGAGTCATGGGCTGGGGATGTAGCTCAGGCTGGTAGAGTGCTGGCCCACCATGCATGAGACCCTGGGTTCCAACTCTAGTACTGCATACACCAATCATGGTGCCCATGGGAGGTGCAGCCAGGAAGATCAGAGTGCAAGGTCATACCCTGGCTATTCTCTGCCATTACATATCTGAGGATACATGAGACTCTATCTAAAGAGCAAGAATCAGGCCGGACAGTGATGGTGCATGCCTTTAACCCCAGCACTCAGGAGGCAGAGGCAAGCAGATCTCTGTGAGTTCGAGGCCAGCCTGGTCTACAAGAATAAGTTCCAGGACAGCTGGGGCTACACAGAGAAACACCATCTCAAAAAACAAACCAACAACAAAAACAAGCAAGAATCAGGACTGTTCTTCATGCCTGCACCCCTGCCCCCCAGCGCAGAAGCACAAGAACAAAGAGGGGGGAACTCTGTAAACACTGGCTACGTGTGGGTAACTTGCTGACAAGTGAACCATATGGACAGTTTGTGCAAAAGACAATTGCAACCAAGTTCTTCCACAGAGTAGATGGCACCAGGGCCAAGACTTCCATGGAAAGAGTGAGCCCAGGGCCACAACCCATTCTAAAAAAGGAAGAACCAGACCATGACATAAGAGGCAGGTGATCACTGCCATGGGAGGAAGGCCAACAGGATGGCACAGGGCCCCTGAGCTGAAGAAACTGAGAAGGCATGCGGAACCACTGTTTCCTCCTCACTTCCTCTTTTGCTGAATGCTGGGTAGTGCAGTTGAAAACTGAGCGTCTAAACCAGGTGTGGTGGCTCAAAGCGTGTAACCCTAGCACCTGGGGGGTTGAGGTAGTGGGATTGTTATGGTTAGATGCCAACCTGGGCGCCATAGCGAGATGCTGTCTCAAAATGTCCCTCCCCCCCCGCCGACCCCCTGCCCCCCCACCCCACTCTGGATTACAGGCACTAGTCACCAAGCCTGATGACATGAATTGGATCCCTGGGACCTAGGAGAGATCAGACTCCAGCAAGTTGTCCTCTGACCTCCACATGTACCCTGTGGTACACGGTGCCCACACAAATGCACACACAAGTAAATAAATGTTACAAATGTTAAACAAAGAAGAGAGAGAAAGATGGGGGAGTTGGAGGAGAGAGTCAAAGAGGGGAAGAGGAAGTGAGGGAGAATGAATGAATGAATGAATGAATGAACGAACGATCGAACGAACCCGGTAGAGGCAGAGGCTGTGAGCACACACTGTTTTTTCTGCAACCTGCTTCTGCACCAACCCTACCCAGTTAGAGATGGGATCCTCTGCTAACTGTGTGCCAAGTCATGCCCTTTATCTGAATCTTGCAACCCCAAGGCACTTCCTGCCTTGGCTGAGCAGAACACCACGCGGCTCTCCACTCCTCTATCCCCATCACCATGTCTTTGTGGCGAGCAGCATCCCGTATGCACACTGCTTTGGTTCTGCTTCTCACTACATGTGAGAGAGCGTGCAGGAGGCAATGTGCACCAACATAGACTCCAACACTCGGGGAAACTGGAGCCGGAGGTTCACCGGGATGTCCAGGCCAGCCTGGGTTACAGAATGAGACAGTTTCAAAACAAAAGCAAAACGCTCAGCAGCGACACCCACGCACAGGGGTCCTGGTTCAACCCCTAGCACTATGTAATAAAATGAAAAGCATAATAATAATAATAATAATAATAATAATAATAATAATAATAATAATAATATAAATCCATTGCCTGGGGCAGCGCTCCCCAAGGCAGAATCCTTGGAGTCCATGTGGTTCTCGGGCATACAGGTCCCACTTCCTGCTCTGGCCGCTCCCCTCCCCAGCCTGCAGACACATATTAACCTCTTCCAGACTGGCATAACAGAAGGAGATCTCCACATATAGGCACCCGTCCCCTGGCTTCGGGAAGCTTCCAGACCTCAGGAACCCCCCGAGGAGCGCGCACCTCCCTCAGCGGCTGTCGGTACCACTGCTGTTCGAATCCTTGCAGCCGGTTTTCCGAGAAGTCAGCGCGGAAGCGCCACAGTCCGTCCAGAGCCTTGACCTCCCGCGACGGGCTCTCCCTGGGGAAGAGCATCCCACCCTGCAGCGCCAGGGCGCAACTGCACAGCAGCGGGGCCAGCGCCACCCAGCACGCACTCCGCTTTGGGGACATGCTGGCCTGGCTGCCCACCATCCAGCGCCTGGGCTTTCAGCCTCCCTCTCCGGGAGAGGGCGGGGGCGGGGCCTGGGAGGGTCACATGTTCCCGCGTGAAGCCGCCAGCGCCAACTCGGTTGAGGGCAAGTGTCTGAAAGGCTGCTTCGGCAGGGCCATCCAGAGGTCCCCAGGGCTAGAATCCGCGAAAGGAAAAAACTCTCATAATCTGCCTAACCCCAAAGCCCTGGGTCGTCCTCCCACAGGAATGCCAGAGGTCCCTGCCAGTCTCACAGTCATTTAACATTCTTCCACACCCCCACTCACAGAAACTCTCTGGGGCTGGGCCTCCTAGGACAGTTAGGCTAAGGTCCCCACCATTTCTTCACGACTTCTGTAAAAGGTCGCAAACGAGGGGTTCAAGAGAGACACTGAGAAGGATTGTTGGGGGCTGGGAATTTATTAAGGCCTGGAAACTGCACATAGACAATCTCCCGAGCTGGGGGCTCTGAAGAGGGCTCAGGTACCAGTGCCAGCATGTCCCTTTCTTGTAGGTCTCTAAGGAAGCGGTGGTTTCACAGCACAAGCTTGCAGCCAAGCTCTCCTAATGCCCAACAGGAGACAGGTAAGGGGGTTAGAGTGGGAGAATAAGATGTGTGGCTACCAATACCTGCTTAGATGTATACTTACTTGCCCAAGTGAGAAATCTGAGGACGTGAAAATCTTAGCTACCGGAGTGATGGTTTCCCAACCACCTCTGTAAGCACTCCCAAACACAACTATTTCTAGTTTCTAATTCACTTGTTTACATTTGTGCCTTTCCCTTTGTTGTGCCTGCCTTTGATGTAATGCGGAGGTCAGGGGTCAATCACGATGATGGGGGATGTCATTCTATATGCTGTGAATATATGTTTCTCTTATCGATTGATGAATAAAACTGTTTCGGCCAATGAACGGGCAGGTTGTAGCCGATTGTGTAGGCGGGGCTACCAGACTAGGAGAATTTTGGGAAGAGAAACACAAGAGAGTGAGTCGCCAGGTAGACACCGTGTAGCTGCTGAAGGAGTAACATACTGGAGTATTACAGGTAAGCCACAGCCTCGTGGCAATACATAGTTTAATGGAAATGTGTTAGTAACTAAGAGAGAGCTAGCCAATAAGAAGCCTGAGCCATTGGCCAAACAGTTTATAATTAATATAAGCCTCTGTATGTTTATTTGGAACTAAACAGCTGCGGGACTGGGCAGGACAGAAACTCTATTTACATCACCTTCTACCTTACTTTAGTTTTTAAATTTATTTATTTACTGGGGAGGGCTGGAGAGATGACTCAGACATTAAGAGCCCTGGATACTCTTCCAGAGGACGGGGATTTGATTCCCAGCATCCACATGGCAGCTCATAACCATTTTTAACTCCGGTTCCAGAGGATTTACTGACTTCTTCTAGCCTCAGCAAGTACTGCACCTGTGTGGTGCATAGACATACATTGCTGGCAAAACAACCGTACACATAAAATAAAAATAACTCTAAAAGTAACAGCAGCAACAACCACCCTAGAATTGGATGTGGTGATTCACACCTGTAACCCAGCTCTCAGGATGCTGAGGCAGAAGGATGAGGAGATGAGGAGAGTCAGTCAGCTTGGGCTACACAGTGAAGCTCTGTCTCGTGTGTGTGTGTGTGTGTGTGTGTGTGCGCACGTGTGTGTATTATACATATATATGTAATATTATATATATACATATATATATATATATCACATATGTTTGTTTTGCCACACCTGTGTGTGTAGCAGGTGTGTGAAGTACCCATGGAGGCCAGACAAGGGCATTGAATCCGCTGAAACTAGAATTACAGATAATTGTGAGTCACTATTGTGGGTGCTGAGAACCAATCCCAGGTCCTTTAAAAAGAGGAGCCAGTGTTCTTAAACACTGAGCCCTTCTGCAGTTCCATCTGACTTATTCTAATTTTTCATTTATATATTTATTTGCATGTGCACATGCAGGTGTGTGAAGGTCAGAAGACAACTTGCTGGAGTTGGCTTTCTCTCTTAACCTGTAGCTTCCAGGGATTGAACTCAAGCCATCACACTTGGTGGCAGACAGACAGCTTTACCCACTAAGCCATCTCAGCAGCCCTCTGCCTTATGTGTTGAGACTGAACTCACTGATCCTATTAAACTGGCTGGCCTCCCCAGCTCAAGGGCTTACAGGTGCATCATGCCTGGCTTTTTATGTGGGTACCTACCTTTACCTGCTGAGCCATCTCACTAACTTTTTTTTTTTTTTTTGGTATTGCGTTCGGTAGCTAGTCTAGGATGACCTTGAGCTCCTAATGTTCCTGCCTCTACCTTCCAAGTGCTGAGATGACAAGTGTGTACCACCTTGCACAACTGGAATTATATTAAACAATGTCATTTAGAACCAGGTTCAAAGATTGAACAGTTTAAATATTAAGTAGAGTTTAAAGGTTGCTTGAAAAACAAACTGGTTCGTGTATTCCTCTTATCTCATTGAATTATCTTTTTTTCTTTTTTTTTTTGCTAGACAATGAAGCAAACTTTTATTGAAGCTTACATTATGGTACAGAAATACATTTCACCTGATTAAAAGTCCAACACCAATGAAGAGAAATAATTGCACCAAAACTTCCCCTCCTGTAATCACACTAGGATCACTATTCAATCTACAGTTTGTTTTCCAGGCTTTTCCCCACACAAACCAATCAAATTTCATCGTTAGAATTCATAATTCTGTCCGATGGGGTATTCAGACCTCAAATGTACTCGGTTACAAAACCCAGCTTAAATAAGTACTGATCCTTCAAAGAGCAGTTCAGAATGTTAGGTGCTGTGTTCAGTACAGAACCAGACTGATAACAGCTGACTGGAGGCTTCCCCAATGAAAATCAATAGCATGCTTAAAGTAAAAATCCAGTGTTCCAACCGCTTGATTCCAAACCAAGTAGATTCTATGTTATAAACGCTAAAACTGTGTTTCGTTATAAATATGGAAGAATCAAAATATCACTGCATCAGTCCAGAAACTACCAAGAAAACAGTACGAGGACAATAAATAGGAAATGTAGTCCATTTTGTTCTCCTCCCAGCTGTTTAGATTACGAAATATCTGCAAGTGCCACTAACATGCCAACCTTTGAAAGCCTGTATTTCTAGTCCCATTAACTATTTCAGTGTTGTTTCGTGTGTTCATACATTTACTATGGGGCTGAGTAACCTGCAGAGTCCTCACTCTGGGCAGCCATTCATTTGTTCTGATCTTGTGAACACCATGGTGAAAGACCACACAGGTACGGACCAAGACGAGAATTTGGCCATAACTGAGAAAATCATAATTCCCATCAAGATTTCCTTCAGAGACATTGCTCCATTTTTCAAAGACTCCACTCCTACATGAGTGTTTAAGTAGTCAATCAGCCTTGCTTACAGCCAGACTGTGACATTTGATTTAACCTCATCAGGCCTGGTCTCCATGCCTAGATCTGAAAAATACACCCCAGGAAAATCACCTTACAGTTTGTTTCATTTACAAAAGAAAATTCCCGGCTTACACAATATGGTTGATAACATTAGCTAGCACTCACTGAACTCTCTCTAACAGGAAAGCAGCAGACTACAAGAGACTGAACTTTATCTGCCTCTATTTCCAACAGTTCAATAGAAACAGGCGCTCATGTGGCCCCAGACCTTTATCAAGTTTTTTTTTTTTTTTTTTTTTTTGTTGTTTTCGAGACAGGGTTTCTCTGTATTGCTTTGGAGGTTGTCCTGGAACTCACTCTGTAGACCAGGCTGGTTTCGAACTCACAGAGATCCGCCTGCCTCTGCCTCCTGAGTGCTGGGATTAAAGGCGTGCACCACCAACGCCCGGCTACCATGTGATTTTTTAAAATTTATTTATTTATTCATTTAATATATATGAGTGCCCTATCTTCATGCACACCAGAAGATCAAATCAGATCTCATTACGGATAGGTGTGAGCCACCACGTGGTCGCTGGGAATTGAACTCATGTCCTCTGGAAGAGCAGCCAGTGCTCTTAACCGCTGAGCCATTTCTCCAAAGCTCATGTGGTTTTAAAAGAGATTAATTTAAAAAAATTATGTGTAGGTGGTGTGGAGTACGTAGGTATGTGCAGTACTCATGGAAGCCAGAAGAGGGTGTCAGATCCCCTGGAGCTGAAGTTCCAGGTGGTTCGTGAGCTTCCTGATGTGGGTGCTGGGAACCTAACTGGGGTTCTCTGCAAGAATAAGCACTGCTACATCTCTCTGCCATCCCTTCGTGATGTTTTAAGTTTATGATTTTTTTTATAGTTATGCTTCCTGCCTGGGGCCTCTGGGATAAGAGGTGTGTAGGTCCTGGAAACGACAAGATCAGATGTGAGCCTCGACTCCCCTTCCTGTCTGTCTTACCATTGACATTCAGGTTTTTTTTTTTTTTTTTTTTTTTTTTTTTAGTTCCTTCATGTCCCTATTGGCCAGCTCAACAAATCCCCAAACCCAACCGCAAGGAAGACAGACTGAGGCAGGAAACACATGGCATATCTTCAGGGCCCCACTTTATTATTGGGGAGCAGCTTTGGGTGGGTGGAATCTAGGCCTGCTGAGCCCGCAGCAGGGCCCGCACCTGGTCGATCTGCCACTCGACGCTGGTTCGTGCTGTGCCGCCCAAGGCACTGTACTGTTCCACGCTGTGGCCATAGTCCCACACGTGGCTCACGTCACCTGAGAACAGAGGACTGGGGAGAAAGATGTCAGGATCGACAGTGCACTCCAACCTGTAGCTGCCAAGGGGCAGCTACCAGGATGCAGCTTCCGATGTAGCTTCCAGAATTGAGGGTGGGGGTGGCGCACACCTGATAGTCTGCAGTTCCTGCAGCGACAGCTGGTTGAGGGCAACTCCTTTAGTCTCTGCCATGACCACAGCTTTTCCTGAGGCCTCATGGGCCTGTCGGAATGGCATCTGGATACAAAGTCAGAGAGTGATGCCGTCAGGAACTTGTTTTCTGCTATGACCTGAGTGCCCGGCTTTGGGGACACCCCGTCCCCATCCCAGCTGCTTCCCACTCACCCCTTTTCGGACCAGGTAGTAGGCGAGGTCGGTGGCCAGCATGTCAGGGCTGAGTGCCTGTGTCATGTTCTCACGGTGAATCTGGGGGCACAGGTCCAGCAAAAGTGAGCTGGAGGATCCTGTGGAGCCTACACTATGCTAAGCAACTGAGTCGAGTAGGCTCTTACGTCCTCACCCCACGAGCAATACACGTCACTGATTGAACATTTTCATCAGTAGTTTGTTTTTATCTTTTGCAACTTTGTAGCCCAGGTTAGCCTCAAATTTACAATTTTGCCTCAACATCCCTAGTGTTGAGATTACAGGGGTGCCTCTATGCTCTCAGTATAGGATTACATTTTTTTTTTTTTTTGCCATTTTCCATTAAGTGTGTGTGGTGTATCCATGCATATGTGCTTGATTTTTTTTAATTAAGCGTTTTTGATTGCTTTATTTTTTATTCCTTTTTAAGACTTATTTATTGGCTGGGCCTTGGGTGGTGCACGCCTTTAATACCAGCACTCAGGAGACAGAGGCAGGCGAATCTCTGTGCGTTCGAGACCAGTCTGGTCTACAGGACAACTTCCAAAGCAATACAGAGAAACCCTGTCTTGAAATACATACATATATATACATATATATACATATATGTTTTATATACATTATGAATATATATATATATATATATATATATATATATATATAGATATAT